ATTTATAATAAAACTTCCGACGACTTTTGTTACTATAATTTGCTAACAAGAATAAAGACCACACACAAACTTTGATTGTTCTTTTTTTCCGCCTTTTACCAGGTCGAACTTTGGATTTTTTCAGATGGAAATCAATGGAAATGAAACTTACACCAAATGAAATATGGAAAGATGCCTCTGTATTCGAACGATTTTATTTTTGTATTTCAATGGGAACTACTTTGCACACTTAAATAATTACCATGGATCTTTTCTGAAATAAGAAAATACTTCATATCTCACTAACTAGTCCGATCTGAGCTAAGGTATTTGACATTCTTTAGTAGATTATGAACAGGGGCATATCTAGTATCTCACAGCAAGGGAGTGTTACTGCCAAAAAGGTTTTTCATTCTTTCAAAAAAGATGATGTTTTGAAGAGCGAAAGACACAAAACAGAAACTTTTCTGAAAGCAGAGGCGTGGTAACCACTCCCAAAACTCCCCAGTAGGTACGCCCCTGATTTTGAATAATGATTTGCAAAAAATTCTCTTCAAACTCGTCTGTAAAAAAAAGTAAAGTAAAATTTTTTTCATCTCCATATGATTTTGTCTGTCAAGTTAACTTGATTTTTGATGACACTTCTATTCTGGTACAAAGTAGAGGTCACATGAACTCATTCCAGGTTAAGGGTTAGTTGGATTATTGTTAATTAGGCAAAAGTGTACTTGACTCTGATTTTATGGCATTCAAACGAAAAGGTTAACGTTTTGCTTGTTTCTTGGACCTTTTTATTCAATTTGTATCTCTCCATATCTCTCCGTCACTCATCCATTGAACATTAAAGATCTATGAAACAGTTATTTAGTTATTTAGTACAATATCATCAGATTTTATAAAATTTAGATAAGTATTGGATATCTACGTTTTTTGTCTGATAATTATTATTATTTTTTGTTTTGTTTAAACAACGAGATATCGTTCATTCTCAAAAAAGTTCAATTATTTTCCAAATTAATTCATGACATGTTCAAAAAAAAACGAAAAAAATCTCATGATACTATGATCTCATGATAGAGAATGAGAATTGTCAGCAGTTTTTTGACAAATTTACTCGTTTCCTTTTGAAATAGAAAGCAATCTAGTGAATTTTTTCCTTTTTTGTTGTATTTTCTCTCATGTTCTTTTTCTTTTTTTGGGGGGTTTTTAGCGAAACTGTGCGTGTTTGTTATGTGTCTAGATGTAAACGATGGGATGTAAACAAGTACATAAAAAATTGGTATTTAATTTTTTGTTTCCTCATGTCAAGGACCACGTATGGTTACGTCTCAAAAAAAGATACTTCTTAATTAATATGGATTACTTAAAACTCCCACTCATTTTGGATGGTATTGTTTAATCTTACAAAATCAAATAGAACGAATTCTAAGAAAATTCGATCACATATACATCAGTAGTTTAAATAAAAATACAAAAAATTCCATTATCTGTCGTTTTTTATTGCCATTTAATAAAAAAACTTATCTGTCTCAAACTTTTTTTCAAATTTCTATATTATTGATAGATAAATTTTTTTAAAAAGGAAAATTTATTCATAAAAACAGATAAAGTATTTAATGTATTTAAAAACTGACATAAAAAACAAAAATGCATCTAAATAAATGAAATTTTATTTGTATAAAAATTATCTCTAATACCGTCACAGATTAATAATCGGATTGACTTCAATTCTTTTCTGTATGACATATTTTAAAATTTTTCAAGAATGAAAACATTTAGTCATTCTTAAATACATTTCTAATTTCATACAAAACTTTTTAGATCATCTAGTCATAGTAATGACAACAATGAATTGAAATCATTTCGGATCATTTCTCATACATTTTTCTTCGCTAAGGGGAGAGCCTACAGATTATATATGACATTCATTTTATAGACTTGAATTATATTTCAAGACTGTACACGATTGACAAATTTTTGTTGATTGATCATCTCGAATTGCACGATAGTTTGTCATCAATAGAATAATCTAATCGTATATAAATAGATAAAGTAATCAGAATTAATCCAACTGGAAATAATTAAAATTTAATAACAAATGAACGAATACATAATAAATAATAATAATAATATAGAATTTGCCCTCTTGTTTGATAGATGAACATTTGATTTATTAAAGCGTAAATCTAGAATATATAACAAAAATTAATAATAATCTTTTTATACACATATATTCGATGTATTTTATTTTTAAAAAAGAATCATGTCTTCAAATATAGAAATGTTTTAAAAAAATTTTATTATTATCTTTTTCTTGTTTTTTGATTTGATTTTATAGATTAAAAAAAAGTAAAAAATACTTTTTAATTTATGTTCTAACTAAATGTAAATTAAATGTGTCAGGATTTGAACAGCTTTTTCCGTTTGAAAAAATTGCAAGTGAAATTTTTGTGTATAATGGATGGAAAATAAAAGAAAAATAACAGGAAAGAAACATCCGCATTGTAGTCAAAAAATAAAGAAAAGAAAAGAAAAAACTTTACAAATAGACAGACACTGAAAAAAAAAGGGAAAGAAAACGGAATTAAGGTTAGAACAGTGAAAAACGAACTGTTGTATCCGGTAAGAGCAATATAATTAGATATGTTGTCTCAATGCATAATCTTTTTTCAGTGAAAGAGAAAAGTAAAAAGGAAAAGGCGGGATGGACAAAGTTAACTTAAAGAAAAACACAAAAAAAACAAAATTTATTTATCCTATATTACAAGAGCTAGTAAGTCACTTATTTCGTTGTAGAGTTTTAAAATAGACAGTTTTTTTAGTCATTTTCGATAGTTTTCTACGAACAATCATTCAAATTAACAAAATTCTTTAGAATTTTAAATTTCTTATTTGGTAAAAGTTTAGATAAATTAAAATTGTATTTCTAATCTTACATAGTCGATTTTCTGTCGAACATTTTAATACTCATCACTATTAATAAACGTTATGTATGTTACATGTAAAGTATGAAAAACAAATGTCTTTAAAAGTCTATATGCAATGAAGAACGATTAAAAAAACAAAAAAATTAAAGTAAAAATTTCAATTCATCATACGCATTAATCTTATTATGTCAACATCTTTCCATTTATAGATAGTTGAAACAGTAGGACGTTTTTTCTCCACCATCGGGGTTTCTTGTTTGTATGTTAAAATATATTAGCCGCCGTTTCTACTAATTTCTTTTCTATATGATTCTATTGATTTATGATGTTAGACGAGGAGCTAATTGTAAATAATACAAGAGTAAAGAGAGATAGAACGTAAATTTTTTTCTTTTATTATTTGTTCCTATTATTATTATTATTTTTTTTTTTTCATTTATAAGGTTTTTTTACTATTTTTTTCCATTTTTCTTCGATTGTGCAGTAGTCACAGTCAGACAAGCTATTTAGACTTGACAATTACTTTTTTTACAGAAGAAAAAAAATCTCTTTCATCTTCAATAGATAATAAACGAAACATAACAAAAATATGATTGATATGAAGTATAATTGGGTATTCTCTTAAGTTCTTGTTAGAATACGATTATGATCACTCGTATAGACGAGAAGTAGAAGTAAGATCATCTTTTATTCTGTTTACACTTGTTATAATACATATCGCATAGTTGAGATAAGAACTCAACAATCCATATTGTTTTCTTAACATTTAATTAATAAGATCTTTACAATACCATTGTCTTATTCAAAGAAACAAGGATATCTACATCATATAAGAAGATAGATATCCGATTTAGAGTGGTAATTTTTTTCTCGCTGTTCAAAATAGAATAACTCTTTTTTTCTCTTTTTCTTCTTCTTCTGTACATCTTGAGAATATTTATGATGGGTAAGAAAGTTGTTATAAGTGTTAATCGCCTATTCTCAAACTTTATGACATCATCACTCTCTTCTTTCTTCTAAACTATTAGAAGTTATTGAAGATGGTCGTTGTCATTATTGTAATCTGATAACTGTAAAAATCTACTAAGTCGTCTAATTTTCTCCAAAAGAAAATTGATATAGGATACCATTATTATTATTAAAAAATATACACTTGAATGTTTAAATAATATTTTTAAAACTATTTACTTTTGAAATTTTTACTAGATAATATTTTACGTAAAATGTTTACTTAGTAATGAGTGACCGTAATTAATTATAAGAAAATAATATAGAGTAAAATTTCGTACATGTCTTTTATCATATTAAACGATAGATATTATTGACTTAACAACTTTATAGATGTTAAAATGTTCTTAAACATTAAATACCTAAATCACGTACTTCTGTCAATTATATTTTTACTTCATTCAACTGTCAAAAGTTTATAGCGGTAGCTTTTTAATGTTCAACTATATCACTATAGTAGTTATAGCATGAGCATTATTTTTCTTTCAATATATGTGAAAAACAGATTTATTACGTGACTTTTTTTACTATGTATACTTATAGAACACCTATCATGCAATAAAAATTATCACTTTTACATACTTAACGTATAGAAGACATACAATAACCATATCATTTGGGAAACAAAAAAAAAGAATTATTTTTTATTATTATTATTGAATTATTGAATATTGAAAATATTAAATGTTGAACAAACGGTATTGAACTTCAAATTAAATTTATCATAACAAACGAACCTAAGGGACCATAAAGCTATCTTTTGATAAAAGAAAGATACATTAGAAAAAACAATTATTGCTTTTTTTCTCTAAAATTAGTATACGTTTAATAACTTAAAAATACGATCTTAAAATAATCTAATGATTATACAATATAAGTCTTTCTTAAACATTGTGATTTTATTATAGATAATAAATTTTTATATATGAAATCAAGTTGATTTATATGATTAACAAGAATATTATGTTTAAATTTTTATTTTTTAAACAATATTAGAACATAAATGTTGAAAAAAAATTATTATTTTAAATTAAATACATTTTATTTGTCACTATTGTATTTATTTTATCAAGATATTTAAATATAATGAGCATCAATTGCTCACAAGAAACATATAAAATTGATATTAGTACAATCAGCATTAAGTATATCGCGGGTGGATGGCTAACATTAATATTTTGTCTCTTTGGTAAGTATTAATAGAACAACAATAATAAATATCTTAAATTCTGTTAGATTACTAAAAAGTTAGATAACTTTTATAAGAAAAATTAATAAATTAGATCGTACTATTTACAATCTAAAATATAAATTCTGAATTAATTGTATAGAATAATTTTATTTTCTAAGAAATATATGTACCATCTATTTTTTGTTATATTTTAAGTTGTTTTGTATTCTAAGGTATAATCACCAACATATTTACTGTTGTGGTCTTATGTCATCCTCGAATGAGAAATTCGTCGACACATGTTTATTTGTTAGCATTATCTGCATGTAATATTTTTTTGTTAGCTGGTCTGATGATTAATTATTCACTAAAATCAATAGGTAAACAGTAGATTTATTTCAGTATAATTGTCTTATTTTATATTTTGATTTATAACTATCTTGAAAAGAATAAAAATTTTATTACTAAAAGTGACATATAATAATTTAGATTATTTAGAACATTTTTTATATTTTATTCAGGAACATATCCTGAACTTTTACAATATTTGAATACACCTGACGAATACAATAAACGTCAAATATTAGCAAATGCTTATGAACAATTTTATGCACGTATGTTATCTATATTGATAGTTTCTAGTTATAATTATTTAAATTTTTTTAGACGTTGCTCCATTCACTACTCCATTATTATCTGTGTTATTGTTATGTAGTACATATTTGACAGGTATTTATTTCAATCATACACTTCATAATACGAAATAATCAATAATAATATTCTTTCATTTTAGTTCTAGTTAGTCTTGATCGATATTTATTAATTTGTTGGCCACTTCTTGCTGAAAAACTACGTACATGTAAAATTGCTATACGTTCAGTTTTAGTAATTGCTCTAGTAATTAATTTATATTGTTTACCACATTGGTTTGAATATAAAACATCTCATAAAAATACACAAGAAATAATATCAAGAAATGAAACATTATTAGGTATCGTTAATAATGGTGGATTAGAAGATGATGAACCAGACACAAATTTAGTTGAATTAACATACACAAAACTGGGTTTCAATTCTATTTATTTGTCAATTTATCGTTTCTATTTGAATATTCCAGTCACATTTGTAATTCCATTTTCTTTGTTATTATTATGCAATGGTTCAATGATACATAAATTGGTATTAATTAAACGCAAAAAACGTCAATTGGGACAACGAATGAGAGCGGATATTCGCATAACTGTCATGCTGATTGTTATTGTTCTTGTTTTTCTTATTTGTCGTTCAATTAATTTAGTAGTAAATTTAATGACAAAAATGCAACCATGTTTAAATAGAAACTCGTTACAACGTTATAATACATGGGCTAATTTATTAATTGCTTTCAATGGTTTTTGTAATTTTTTTCTATTTGCCGTATTTGGACAACGTTTTCGTGAAATGGTTTTATACATCTTTTTTCGTCAACAATATCCTTTTCATACGGTCGGTGATTATACAAGTAATCGTTTTGGACATACTACTACTCCTGATGCTTCTCGTCGTCAATCACGAAGATATTCAGCAAATGAGTCTGATCTATTACAAACAATCTCACGTCGACGTTCATCAGCTACAATGGCCATATTAAATTCAGATATGAAACGATATTCACCTAAAACACAGCCAGAATGGACAGCAAAATTTCTTAATATACCATCACCATTTCCATTTAACAAGAAAAAACCATCATCATCGATCAATACAGCAGATTCACCCTTTCTCGATCAACATCTACTAAGTGTAGAAAATATTAATGATGGTAGTGTTATCAATAATAATACACATTTAAAATTGCCTATTGTGATAAATAATTCTCACAGTCTAACACCGAGTCCAAGCTGTCTGAAAAAAATGCCAGATGAAGCTATAAACAAAAAAAATAATAATAATAATACACATACAGCACCGACAAGTCATCGAACAATTATGTTTAATGATCACATTGAATTTATGTAATATAATTCAACCGATTCGTAGATATTTATTGTTCATTTTTATTTCCTTCTTCTATTTTTGTACTTTTAGACCAATAAACCAAACCCATGACGGTGAGGAAATAGGTAATCCCTAAAGACAACTTATTCTAATCATATATCATCAGATAATACAAAAGAAAAAATGATGTTTCCAATTTAGTAAACTTCTAAAAACTGAGAATAATATAAACTATTTGATTGATGAAGCTGAATGTTCTCCTCTATGTCAACTTCTCAAACATGTATTCAAATCTATACTTTAAGTCTTGTCTCAGGGTATAGAAAACTGTAGATAAATTTATCTATCTGATAACATAATGTACAATTTTTTCTTTTAGTAAATATTTATATAATATTTCTAGGAGAGCTGATAGCGTTTATACAGTTATTAAAGAATAATATAAAATGTTATAGAAATAGATCAAATTTCATAAAACTAACTCAAAGATTCCAATCTATATCAACAACTATTTAGTGGTGTTTTATTTATTATTATGTTTTCAAATCTTTTTTGTTATTTATGTACTCGGATCTTATTACCAACATCTTGACAAAGAAGAACATATGGATATGACACTTTGCGTTCATTAAATAAAACCCTTGTGCCATGCTGTTTGCGGCCTATATCATAATCTGTTCGACATTTTCCATAACACAGACAGAAATAATTGCTTTGTAAACGATAAAATAATAATCAGTATTTATTTTATCCTGATCAATCAGAATAAAATTTTAAGGAGATTAAATGAAATAATACGATCAATTCTCTAGTGCGATCATTCTATAATCTAGGGAGAGAGATTTGCTCCCATTTGATTAAATGAAGGAATGTAATCAAAACAAAAGAATTTGAATATATTCGCATTTCTTGTTTTGATAATATTCACTTCTAAATCTTAACTTCTGCAATTCGAATATCCGATATACTACACCTTCACTTAGAATAATGCTGACAACTCATTGAAAAATATTCTATACAGACTTACTAATCAATTGAAAAAATGCTATGATAATTCGCTGGAAAAATTCCTGCATTTTAAGTTGTGATTAAAACTTGTTATTTATAGACGATAGTGTTAATATTCGTATTTCATAAATATGATACAAAATAATCTAAAATGCGAATACGCCATTATGGCTCGGATGTAGTTTAGTGTGTTTCAAAGACAATAGTCTCTAGAAATAGAGAAAAGGAGTCAAAAGCTATGCTACCATAAGGTGACTTCTTCTAACACTTTAGTGAACGCTCACTAAAAAGAAATTTTAATTCATTTCATAAATTCTTATGAAAAGAATGTGATTTATTTATAATTCATGATCATATAAAACAAAATGTTTAATAGAGAATATTAAACTGGATTTGAAAATAAATTCGACGTCAATTTCTATCACTTTAATGATACAAAAATTAATTACGCACGTAAAAATCTTAACTTACTATCAAATGCAATTTTAATTCGTTAAACGATTGTCTCATAGCACCTGGCTGATGAATTTCATGGTATATTAAGATTTTTAGGTGTGTAATTAATTTATGTATCGCTAAAGTGATAGAAATTAACGTACAAAATAGTTAATAAATTCTCAACATCAGAAAATTTGTGTAATTATTTTCTGGCTTGAATTCTCAAAAATCGTCATTTTTTTTGAAGCACAATTCCACTGAAAAAAAGAAAAGCCGTAGGAAGCTTGTGAAATCTGGTATCCTAGCCGATTTTCGTCTGGAACAGTCGACTAGGATAGTTAAGCACCTTTTTCTTAATATTTCGGAAACGCTGGATATTCCGTGGTCAGATAAGAATCGACACTGTTTTTTCTAAGAACTAAACGATATAGAAATCTAGTGGAGCAGAGTATAGCAGTATTATTCATAGATGTCGAACTTACAAGGGAACGTTCCCAACTATCAAATCGCTTTCAAGCCGAAATCTAGTGGACTGTAGGTAGTCGACTATGCTGATTCCGAATATCAACATGAGTTGGGTCTCTAGGCCTCCAGAGACTGGTTTTCTGGAAAACTAGTTTTTCAGAAACTCTAAAAGGTATACTGTAAAAAATAAAGTAGGTCAGTGACCTACTGAGTGACTCATCTAAATGGATCCGCTTTACCCATTGAGAAAACTGTTGTATCAGTAGGTCAGTGGCCTAGTGGCAGCGTGTCTCTAAGTTACAGAGATGACCTAGTGAGACGACTGGCTCAGCCAAGCGGTAGCGTTTGGAACTTCGGCGCAGAAAGACGAAGGCTCATACCTCACTTTTACTTACTTTTTCTGCTTTTCTTCGTTTGCTTATTTTGAGCTGAAAATAACCGTCTGTAGGTTTTTTAACATGGTGATTTCGAATTTGAACTTAATTTTTTGTTTTTATGCGTGCATAGCCGCTTTTTAAGCAAAAGATATGGAGAAAATCATTCGAAAAGTCTTTAGCATTAAAATCTCACCAGAATCCTATTGCTGGGAGTAAGTGGTTTTTAAAGTGGAGATGAATGATCTTTGGTTTGATTGTGAAGTGAGAAGAATGGTTTGAAAGCAGTAACTTAAAGTGTGGTGACGCGTAACCGTTGACTATCTGTTTGATTTGTGCTCCGTTTTTCCAGATGAAGTTTGCTAGTAAACATAAAGTATTTCGCATGAATCGAATGGTAATTTTGCTCTCTATATTCCTACACTCTTTTCAAAATTTTTGCTTTTATGATTTGACAGAAATAGGCTAGAACTGAGAGGTGGTGGTCTTTCCGTCACGTTTTTGGAAAAATGGATTTTTCAGAACTAGGTTAGTGTGCAAAAAGTTTATTTTCACACAGTTAATTCAATGCTAAACATATTGCCGTGTCTTTTACTTTAACCCTTTCAATACGACTTTTGACCAATGCAGTAAATTGTGTGTAATTGATATAAAGTTGTTGATTTGGCTTCGAAATATATGTATGCAAAGTTTAATTTTTTATCTTTTAGTATTTATAAAGAAAAGACCTGGGATACATATGTCCCAGTAGTAGTGCCTGTTTGGGAAAGTTTGTCCCTGCAGTAATGAAATAAATGAACATTTAGAAACGAAATTTATTTATTTTAGTAATTATAAATAATATACATTATTATAGTATTATTTATTATGTGTGATAAGGTGTAAAACAGTCGATGCATAAGGCCACCTGACATTGTTTACATATGAGTTTTGTTCGTTTTTCGATTTTTCGCGACTGACACCGAACACACCTGTTCCTTCCACCTTTATCTATTGGAAGGTGATCGCCAATATTTTCGCAAAGTTTAACCCTTTTGGAAACCCGGCCTTGTCTTCTGGACCGTTTGTAAGTTGCTTTGCTAATAAGACCTTCTGCCACATTAATTAGAAAATGAATGAAAGGAACTTTTTTATGACTAACTTCTTCATAAACAATATGTGCATTATGAACAGAAGTCATCAAAAGTCTAAAGAAAACTTTTTTCCACCAGAAAACTTTTTTCCACCATTTTGTACTTCTTCGGTCCAAATCATATAATGAAATTTTTGCATAGATCGTGGCGGCCTCTTCAGGAACTCAGAGTATAATTAAAAGAAGCCCGCTGTCTGATTCGCCTTGAAATTCTGCCTATACCCCCTTAATTTCATCAAATTTAGTGGTGCGCGGCAAAAGTACCTAATTTTCTAATGCCATTACTACACAGAAATAATCCTAGAAACAATAACTGTAAGTGCACACAAACAAGCATATGGTCAGCAAAAATCAACTGATAGGAGGCACACGTGTTCCTAATAAAAAAGTGTATTTTAAAGCGATATACTATACTACAGTATTTATCAAACATTCTTTGGGATGAATATATCCCAGCAGTATTGAAAGGGTTAAAAAGTGAAAACTGTAAATTTTCATAAACTCGAAGATATAAGTTCAAAACATTTGTCAGAAAAGTGATTATTTCTGTAATGTCACATTTTTTAATTCAAAAAATTTAATATAATTTAATTCTAAATGATGAGCCCTGAGCCAAGTCTCCGTATTAAAGGAAAGTATCTCAGAAGTAGGAAAACATTTTGACCTGTTTATTATGGCCCACCCGTTAGTATGCTAAATAATTTCTGTAGTTTGCGGGGAAATGTTTGGACAATAGCGAAACTTTTCTCAGTACCAAGCTACGAAGGCAGAATATGTTTTAAAGTGGAAACCCTTTTGTATTCGATTTTTAAGCTGATAAGCGATTATTTATAATGTACTACTCCGCAATCTACACCTTTTTACTAGTCAGTGCACAATAAAATTTTCCTCATTTTCTTGATTTCTGAATAGTCAGCATTTTATTGTATCGATGAAAGTATGCACACAAGGAATAAAAGCATTCCACCTTAAAACTAAACTTGTGTTTTTGACACTCATGTTTTCTTAATGCTCGTATCGATTGATACTTATTAATGCAACCGAGAAAATCCACCACTACTCCTTTTTATCCGGATGCTTATGTTTACAATGAAAGATTAATTCGCATATATTCATATGGAAGTCTCACTTTTCAAAATTGGAGAAACTGTAAAGGCATAAAATGTACAATATTCTACTACTCACACATCACCACCTTAGCGAGGAGTACTGAAGGAAAAATTAGGCTTTTCGAATGCTACAGCAGAGCGCAGCCTTTGTTTGAATTTAGTTTTAGGCAGTGTCTCTTGTCCTATTCTGAAATTAAATTGAACTAAAGTATCACACAATGAAATTTATAAAAAAAAGTTTTAACTTTTTCCCACAGAATAAAATATGGATGGCAACCATTTTCTCCCGAAAATTAACAAACGTAGGTCACTAATGCGCCTTCCACTTTTTTTTGCAATGTCATCCATAAGGAAATTAATACGCGCCAAGTTTATTACAGTTTGTCCTACGTTTCAGTTCTTTCTATTTTACTACAATTTGAAAAAGAAAAGACCGTACTTGCCTTTTTTGTGACCCATTGAGAAAAGAGTACCCACTCATCTAAATGGATCCGTTTTACCTACTGAGACGATTTTACTCACTGGTGACCCACTTTATTTTTTACAGTGTGGCCAAAACCTTTCTTAATGAGGCATATTTGTAGCCCACAAATTTCTAATTAAAATGAAACATCTCCCAGCTCCGCACGACCTTTCTTTGCAAGTTATAGAATTTATAAGAAAAGCTCTAAATTTATTTCTTCTTGTTTCTGTAGCTTTGAGCTTACAATGAACGTTTAGGGCTCTTCTTGTAAATTCTATAATTTGCAAAGAAAGGAATATAGCATAATATAGCATAAGAAAGCGGATGAAAAACTGAGTCGGAATCCAAGGTGCTCTAGTCTTGGTTTAAAAGTCTACCGTTCACGATATTTTAAATTCTAGTGGGGATATACAAAACAGTCTGATCAGGATATATATCCCGTTCGGGTTATAATATATATCCTCCTCGGGATATAGCCCGACGAGGATATATTTTTATATTCCGAATGGGATATGGTATACTGAAGACATATCAAGACACGGTCAGTCCGTTCTCATACCCCGAACGATCCCGTTCGGGATATAAAAATATATCCCGATCAGACTGTTTTGTATATCCCCACTAGAATTTAAAATATCGTGAACGGTAGACTTTTAAACCAAGACTAGAGCTATGATTCCGACTCAGTTTTTCATCCGCTTTCTTATGCTGTATTCACTTTTCTGCAATAACGTCACGATATTTTTGCGGTAATGATTTTTTCCAAAATGTTTTGTAAAATATTCCGATCAGGATATGAATTTTCTGTAATATCTCATTCAGGATATAGGATATATTCCGAACAGGATATCGCTCGTGAGACCGGACTGACTGAAAGGGAGTAGAATATGAAAAATGGCCTATTTGAAGAACGATTTTCTCGTCCGATACCTCTTGAAATTTTGGCGCTCATATTCCAATGATCAGTACTCATGTCAGGCTGTCGAACTATGGTTTCGCATTTATGGCATATTCAACTCAGTTTTACTAGGAACCGTTGTAATACACCAGCAAAACTGAAGCTGAATACGCCATAACTTCGAAAGCATAGTTTGACAGCCTGACATGAGTACTGATCATTGGAATATGAGCGCCAAAATTTCCAGAGGTATTGGACGAGAAAATCGTTCTTCAAATAGGCCATTTTTCATATTCTATTCCCTTTTGAGCTCATCCGTACAACATCCAAGGACCTTGTACGAAGTGAATTCATAACCCTCCCCCCCCATAATAGAAGCCTCCCCCATATTAGAAGCCCCCTCTGGAGCCATCGATGTGGAAGGTGTATTAGAAACCCAGGGGCTTCTATTACGTCGGAAACATAATTTAAATTTTTTAAACGGCACATCTGATCGACACGCGTTTTTTTACTTTAATTGTTCTTGTGTGATGTCATGTGTAAAAAAAGGAAACGAATAAAATTTACATTTTTTATCTCGAAAAAGATTTTTTTCAGATTAATTGAGATTACCGTGATTAGAAAGGCAAGAGCATCGAAATTCAAAATCTCCTTTTTTTTCTGAAAATTTTTGTACGAAAGTCGTAATAGTAGCCCCTTCATAATACAAGCCCCCCCTAAAAATTTTGAACACTTGGACAGTTTAGAAGCCCCGGAGGCTTCTATTATGAGGGGGGGTTTAGTTTATAGTGGAGATACACTTATACAATAGATAGATATAAATGATATTAAATGCAATAACATATTTTTCAGGTTAAAAACATTATGCGAAAATCTTCGTGCTAGGAAAATTCTTCCTTGTTGTACGTATATGTTCGCACATGTGCGACAGTTAGTTTTGCACACGCTCTTGTCCATAGATAGTACTCGACCTTGATTACTTACGCTCCAAATGTAGTCTCTTGATCCACTTCATAGACCAAGATATAAACAAAAGAAATTTCACTTTTACATAGTTATCGTTTCAGTCTGTTTGTAGGACTTTTATGAAAAATTCCATAACGTCTGAAGGAAGTTCCGATCAAAAACTTTTGGGAATCTTCCTAAGTGTGTCGCTGCTACCTACTGTGCAAATAGGAACAAAAAACTTAGACATTGATTGAGCAGCTTTGATCGTCCCTAACGTGAGGATATACACTATCAATACAACGAAATTTTCATCAAAAACTGTGAATACATAGAAGAACAGTTATTTTATTGTGACATCATAAATCTCAAGGTGAGTGTCAAGCAGACGATAAAATAAGTCTTACCATTCTAAGACACAATGTACGAGTTTTGAGTTAGACTTAAATTTCATCTTATTTTCTAGTTCATTAAGACTTTTCAAATCTATTCATCAGCGATCACAGAAAAATGTTCATTAAAAAACAAACATCAAAAGAAAGAAATTTGATTCCACAAAAAACAAATAACAATAAAAAAAATAGCAAATTTTTTGATATTAAAGATTTCTTATGTTGCCCAGACCGGTCCATCGTCCAAATTTCTCATATTCCAGCCTCTTCGCTTCATCAGCGTCCGTATATCTAGCAGCCACTTTTCGATTGGGAATATATTTAAATGACTCATGCCAGTTTCCGGTATGTTTCATTGTTTGTAGAATATTAAATGCTTGATCTAATGTTAATGTTTTACCACTCCCACCACCGAATCTGAAAAATAAACAATCACTAACATTAAGTACTAGCACACCAACAAACATACTTAAGATATCGATCAATTGGAAAACGCATATGACGAATTTGTTCACGTTTTGCTTTTCCAAATGTTAATGGCTTCTTTCCAGCTGAAATAGAAAGGGACAAATTATGAACAGTTTCTGAATGTGAGAGGGGAAGGCATTACATACTTAAATCTACGATTCCACCGATGATGTAAATTGCATCATGCTCATATTCAAGCATTTCGTTTTGTGAATCGGGTGTTAGATAGATTAGCTTATCTTTAGGAAATAAATTTAAATATGATAGTTCTGTTGCTTCAAAACATAAACTTTCTAATGGTGATCGTTTATTAAATTCAAAATGTAATCGTCCATCTTTCATTAAATTACAGAGATAAACAAATGATGGTGAATGGAATTTAGAAATGTCTGCATACAAATATTGAAGTTGATCAACAAGATTCCCAAGATAACGTTCACGTGCATGTTCTCCTTCAAAACCACAATCAATAATAACAATGTCATTTAATCGAGCAGAAATCAGTAGTTTTTGTTCACGCATTAATTTCTCATGTTGTCGACCAAGATGACGAAATATTGTTGAATAACCTGGATAGTTTGTGGGAACTTTCCCTTCGGCTATTAATTTTGAACGCCTTTTTGCTGACTCTATACGACGTACATCATTTGCTGCTACGTTTTCTGCACGTTTTCTCTTGTAGAACTCACGTAAAAATAAATATCTATTAAAAAGAAAAAGAAACATTATACTCAATAGCAAAAAATATCAGTGTTTTTGACAAACGAGCAATCACAGCTATTTTCGTCCAAAAGTATTTAACAATTATTAGTTACCCGTATAAAGTTTTTCGATTATCAAGCAATGGTGTTGCTAGTAATTCAGGCCATTTTTCATCTGGTACGCTTTCCGGCACTCTTTCTCCACTTTCTCGTAGTGTTTGTAGTTCCAATTCAATCACATGACGTTTTTGTTCTTCATTCAAATTAGCAAATGTTTGTCTATCACGTAAATATGCCCATAACCATTCATTTTCATTTGTAGACTGACTGTTAGACAGAGGTGAATTTGATTGTGATGCTGATATTTCGGAATCTACTAGCGGTGAATGTGGAGTTTCTACTTGAGTTGCAGTGGATAAGAGGCGTCGACATTGGAGACATAGACCAATTCGTTGTTGTACAGCTTTTCTAATTAAGTATGAAAATAGCATCTGAAATGAAAAACACAATAGTTTTCGTTAAAGGTACCGCCTCTTCTCTTCAAAAAGTCGACTTTTCGACTGAAAATCGAATTTGAGTTTTTCATATGCATAGATTGAACAGAATTTTTTGAGAATTTATAATTTCTACTAGTTTCTCACCAACTGGAAATAGGTTTTTGCGTTCTACAAAGAATGAAAATATTCTCAAATGCTATAACCCAGGGTTGTTCAAATTCAATCAGTTTTTTCTACTAAATACTGCATGAAGCATTTTATTCAAATTCATATTTGTAGAACAGACATTTTCTCTATCTCAATACAATTCATTAGTTTTTCATTCGAACATAATGGAATGATTGACTGTAGCGTTTGCGAATTTACGTCTGTTCTAGATAAATCTGCTTCTCTTAGAACAGCGTTTGCTAACATTTTTATATTTTTTCAACACGAAACACATCGAAGGAAGCAACAAAAATGAAATTTTGCCAATTACCATCGTCACACTCGATTTATATGTCTAATGTCATTTAAAACCAAACGTTCTCTACATCTTCATTTTATTTAAGTCGATTATGAAATGTAAAAATTTTTTTCAGTTGGGTATTTCGTAACTCAAGTTACTCATTGTGATTTAACATGACATGTAATCATTACACCAATTTCCTAGTCAGCATTCAAAGAAAACAACTTCAGCGTTTCTGCTTAATTTGAATGAGTTCTTTTTTTACGACGGCATAACAAAACAAGTATACCACTACATTGATAAGCAGTACACCTTAGCCTGAAAGTCACTATAATAACAATGGAATCACTTTTATACTTTGTGCGATAAGCCTAACTCGGCCATACATGACCTTGGACTAGACAAGCGTTAAGCAAAATCTCGACAGTTTCTAGCAATCTTTAACGACAGTTCTACAGATCAAAAAGGTAGTCGATACTGTATTTCGCTCACTGCACATCAATAAACAATAAACAAGACGACTATCATTACTGATCACAACTTAGGAATATTTTCGGAAAAAATCTACTTTGCCTGCTTTCTTTTTCGCCATAACAAACTGTATATTGTCTGTTTTCTTTTGCTTTGATTGGTGGATTAGCATGTAGTGAATATTTATTATTTTTCATAAATCTTCTCTTTTCATTCTAGCTTATGAACCTGAAAGAAACGATCGATCCGCTCATGGGATCGAACTTTTCTAACCTACATGTTAGCTGGGACTCAACTTCGAAAGTTTCTTTTCACACTCACTCTAAAAGAAATACATCTCAAAATAATATCTCTTATATTAGTTGATAATTAGCCCTCTTAATACGTCTAATCATGAGACCTTAATGCCCATTTATGGAACTAGTTGTCAATCGACTTGAGGGGAAGAGGTTTACTTCAAGACTGATAGATTTATCTTACGTTTCACAGTGGGCATTTAGGCGGCGTTTTCTGAAAAAATCGTAGGTGCGAATTTTTTTGTTTTGAATAGTGGTGTATATAGTATAAACAATTCCCTATTTAATGATAAAAAAATTTTTGTTCTAGCTCCT